AGAAAAGATAACAGAATTGGAAAGAGGCCGGTCTAGGATTAATGCCTAATGCCATTTAAATAAAATATGAAAAGAAGGGAAATGTTAAAAAGCCCTTGACAAATAATCTTATAAATTTTGAGAACAAATGATGAGAATTTCTTTATTTATTTAAATTTTCCTTTAGATGTATCATGTGAATGAGAAGGGAGAACAGAAAATAAATGACTCACAGATCTGTAGAATATACTATGTGGAGTCATTGGTGTTCTTTCAGTTGGTTGTTTTCTTGTAGATATTTCATAATCCAAGCTAGATAAACTAATCTAGTATTAATGATTTTATGTATTTTGGGTAATGAAATGTTTGCAAGAAAGCAACCAAGTTCAGAGAGTAGCAAGGACCCCTCATTTCAACCCTGAGCTACAAATATTCTCCTTTAATATACAATCTACCAGAAGGAGAGCACAATTTCTTTAAGGCTCTGAAATAGGGAAAGGAACCCAAACTTGACTGGAAAACATTACTACAACTCCTATGTTTATCACACCTGATTCAATTATTATTTTAGGTATGTTCAGGTCTACTAAGAGAAGGACTATTTTAGTGACTGGTCCTACCTATTATACAGATCATTTTCTGCAAGAGCCTACTTTATCCTGACAGAAGCACAGAAATGTTCTTGTTTCTACCTAGTTCCTAATGTTTACACTTGCTACGGATGTCTCAAATTGGAGAGAGATTGAAAACTATGTTTATTTTTCCCCTGTGTAACACAAAGTGCCTTACACTATAACCTAACAATTATCCCAATCTTGGCAAGCCATATGACACTTTCCTGAAGTCACTCTACAACATTAGCACTTTCTGGAAGCTTATATTAATTACTGTTTCTCTGTGTAGTTCCAATTTGGTTGAAGCATGTCAGACCACCTCTAAAAATTTACCTTAATGAAAAGTATCTGAAGCCACTCCAGACAATGTGGTATATCCAAGCTAATGATGGGTGGCACTATTGATGTATGAAATCTGAACTACTTTTTGATGGAATGGCAAAAATATTTCTATTGCTTCTGCTCATACTCTGGTTGCAGCAGCATTCAGCTAAATGCAAAACTCTGAGTGCTATATGTATGATTATGGAGCCCATCCAAATACTGAATAAATATTGTCAGGCAGGGGATTTAATTATAGGAGCAATTACAACTCAGTATAACTGTGTATTTGACATACCATCTTTCAATGAAAGTTTCAGAATGAAGCCTTTATGTGACCTTGTGTACGGATACTTTTTTCTTTTTTAAAATTCAAAACACAAATAGAAAAAATGAAATATTTTTGCAACTTGTAATGAAATATTTGGCAATCAGTTTTGTTCTATATTATGAGCTGGATCAATGAATTTTAAGTTTGGCATGACCTAAGCTGAGGTCTGCTACAAAATCTAGATCCAGCTCAAAGTTTGTGTCAATTTTGACACCATATATTTTGCCTTTCTACCTGTTTATTTCTTTCTATCTTCTCGTGCTAATCAATCTCATTTTTCACCATGAATTTCAAGTTTCACCTGGTATTGTCCTGGCTCTTTCCTTCCAGCTACTACTCTGAATTTGGTTATTGTTCAATTTCTTATAGCTTTGTACTTTATGCTTTTTATCCTTCCTCATACCCAGCATTCTTTTTAATCTATTTTATTTTTTATGTTGCTTACACTATGGATTTATCTGCAAACCTTAGCTGAAATTCTCAGCTGATGTTATTGAAATGAAAACAAAGGATTTGTTTGACATCTGAAAATTTAACACATTTCCTATGTCAAAATGTATATGAATCTTCATGAACATACTGAGTCATTTATGTTTTGTTACTCAGGAAATTCATTAAAACCTAAAAAGCAAATGTGTAACATTTAGGGTGGGAGGAGAATATACAAATATAATTACAAACTTTACAGATTTACACATTAGAGAAAATCAGTTGTAGAACATGGATAATATGAATTAGTAATTATGTACAATAGATGCATGTTAGAAAAGAAAAATATATGTGGTTGCTTCTCTATATTCAGGATTTTAAAAAAATTATGACTTTTTTGACAGTAGATGAGAGTTGAGGAGACATTTTAGTTAATAAGGAAGAACTTATGAATAACTTATCCATATAAGTGGAGTTCTAGATCTTGCTAAAGTTCAGATGGCAATCTTTACATTATTCATATGGACTAAAGCTGCTTTTGGTTTTCTCTATATAAATTGACAAAAAAACAAATGCTTCCATAAGCAATGACTGTATTTTTTCATAATGTAACTCTGCTTTTAGTTTGAAGTTGAAGAACTACCAGCATGTCCTGACCATGGCATTTGCAGTGAAGGAAATCAACAAGAATTCCCAAACCTTACCAAATTTTACCCTGGGACTCCACATCTATGACACTTATTCCAGTCCAAGGATGACTTATTACAATACTTTGAAGCTTCTTTCCACTTGGAAAAGGACCATTCCTAATTATAGCTGTGACAAGGGGAAAAAAATGATGGCCCTGGTTGGGGGATTAGACTCTTCCACTTCCTTCTATATGGCAACCCTCACTGGCCTCTATAAAATTTCTCAGGTAGACACAATGACTGCTTAACAAAGCTTTTCCATGTCCTATCTTTTTACTTGTGGAAGACAATTTTCAGATCAACAACTGCATTTGACATTTGGGTGATGCACTCTACTTCTTAGTAAAGCAATGACAAAACTAAAATTTGCATTTATATAATTTATATTTTAATCAATATGTTAAATACAATTATATGATGATATCCTTCTATGTTTAAACAATGTTCAAATCAGTCACAATAAACATGACATTTTTCTAGCTGGTCTTGAGGACCACATGCAGTTTTGCATCTGATCTCTAGTTGTTACTTTTCTATTTTTCTCCCAAATCTTACTGCCTCAATATTTTCATGAAAAAAAATGTATGACTGGTCTCAAAAACAGATATTTTCTGTGCAATGTCATTAAATATGAATGGATTTAAGATCTTTGATCATTTTACCATATGATGTATTTTTGCCACAGAGCAAAGATTGGGTAATTCATGAGAATACTAAAAAAAAAAAGGCTTTGAGAAATTGACATACTGCATCTCTGAAATATTGTGAATATCTCCACTCAGAGAAGATGAAGGATTTTCAAAGAGTTCAGTCCAATGATTTATTCAGTGGCTAATCATGTTACAATAATCACCAAAAAGGAAATGAAATCATGACAAGACTTTGAGAAAATTCATGTTTGCCTTTTTTTTCTTGGCAGATTGCCTATTCTGTATTTGCTCCAGTGAAGAATGCTAGCAAATTTCTCCCTTTTCTGTATAGAATGATGCCAAGTGATATAGTTCAATATTCAGGAATTGTACAACTTCTTTTGCATTTCCAGTGGAAATGGGTTGGGATCATTGCAACAGATGATGATGATGGAGAAAAATTTGTACAGACCTTAACTCCACTGCTCTCTCAACATGGCATCTGTCCAGCCATCATTGCAAATATACCAACATTATCTCATTATTTAAACTACTATGACTTATTGATGCACATATCACCTGAATCCATGTTATTAACTTCATCTGAAGTTAATGTGTTTGTGCTACATGCAAATCATAGAATGATAACATGTATTAAATGGTTGATATATATGTATAAAATCCTGGAAGACAATGACTCTAAATCAGTAAATAAAATCTGGATTATGACAGCCCATTGGGATTTCTCAACAGACATATTGCAGAAAAGTTTTGATATGATGTTCTTCAATGGTGCCTTATCTTTTGCAATTCACTCCAATGAACTGCTGGGATTCACCCATTTTCTGCAGGGATTAGATCCTCGTTCAGATAACAATGATCAATTCATCCAAGTTTTCTGGCAACAGGCATTTAACTGTTCATTTTCTGATCATAATGAAAAAGAATGCACTGGGAAAGAGAAATTGAGCCATTTGCCAGGAGTTGTTTTTGAAATGAGCATGACTTCTCAGAGCTACAGAATTTACAATGCTATTTATGTCTTAGCATATGCTTTGCATGAGATCTACAAACCCAGGCCACAAACAAGACCTATATATAATGGACATTATCTGGATCAGAAACCTTGGCAGGTAATATATTTTTGCTATTTCAGTTTTGGTCTAATGGATGAAAACTGGTATAAAGCACTGATGGTTTTATACATGAGGTATTTTTGCTGATTTTTTTTTGCATTTCTAGTATTTGTTTCAGAGTTGCATGACATATTTTAGTATATTCATTACCAAAGGCACAGGCTAATATGTTTTCATACTAAGACATATCAATCTCTATTTGCAATCTCTATTTACTCTATTGCTATTAAATAGTTTGTTGAATATATCCCTCCTGCATCCATCCCTTAATTTAACATTTGAAAAAAAAACGTAGTAGAATATCCCCTTTCCTTAAAAAAATGGATTCCTAATCTGAAACCTTCGAACAGAGCTATCCCTACTGTTAGATAAAGAGATAAATCTGTTTCAAGTAATTTATATTCAGAAGGCATGATGAAAGATAGGAAATATAGTGATGTTCAGCTTAGCCATTCAGGAGCCTTCAGACTACAATAGCAGATGCCTGTATAAAATTAATATTCTATTTCTTGACTGATTATTTATTGTATATGGGATAGTAGAGATGACAATTCTGATCATGTGTGCAGCTACCTCCGCCTTCCCAGGCAAGGACTTCAATACATTGTAAATCTGCAAAGTTAAAGATGTTAAACTTATATGAATAAATCCCTAAGCTGAGATAAAATCAAGAATAATGTAATGAAAACAGTGATTAGGGAGTTGTGCCTTTATCTCTATAGATCCACCCCTTTTTGAGGAGCATTACTTTTAATAATAGTGCTGGGGATATTGTGTCTTTCAATGAAAATGGTGAATTAACAGCTGGATATGATATTCTAAACTGGGTTATTTTTCCAAACCAATCTTTTGTAAGAGTGAGAGTAGGAAAGATGGATCCACAGGACAAAGAACTCTTCATTAAAACAAATACCATCACATGGCATAGTTCATTTAACCAGGTAAGATGCACTTTAACTTCAGAAATGTCAAGTTAGATGAGAAATTCTCTTACAATTTTTCCTTCTCTTGTTTGAATAATTTCAGTCAATTCTATCTCACTGGTAATTATTTGTCACTGACACTAAGCATCTCACCAACTCTAAAACACATCACATGAAAATAATTTTATTCCCAGGTGATTGTTTTTAAAAAGTTGTCTACCTGTTTTGAAAATATTTCAGACCTTACATTCCCTTTATGTTTTCATCTATTTGTGTCCAATTTCTTCATTTAAAAATTGTTGTTTATTTACTTAATTTGTTTGCCACCTATCTCACCACAAGGTGACTCTGGGCAGCTTACAACATTAAAATGTAACCATAATTATATGAATAAATAATAAAAATCACATTAAATTTACAATAAAATATCAATTATAAGAATATACAGGAGTGTGTGGGGACTAATATTAGACAATTAGCTATCTCCAGTATAAAATTCCCCCATCAGCCCAGAGCCAACAGGTAGAGCCAGATCTTCAGCTTCTTGTAGAAGATGGGAGCCAATCTCACTTCTTTTTATGTTATAATTGTTTTATTGTTATTTTATTTATATAATATTATTTATTATATTTATTTTAATTATGTTATATTTCAAGGAAGTACACATATCTGATATTCAGGCATGACCTCAGATGACATTAAGAAAAATTGCAGAATCAATAGCATAGTGATTATCACAATAGGAGCGTCATATATATTCTTTGCTTTGTGGGCAGGTACAACCACTTTCTCTCTGCAATGAGAACTGCTATCAGGGTTACCACAGAAGAAAAAAAGAGGGGAAGCCATTTTGCTGCTATGATTGTGTCCCTTGTGCAGATGGAAAAATTTCAGATCAGATGGGTAGGATAAGATATAATACCAACAGCTTACAACTTAATCATCCCTTAAGGAAATACCCCTATGGCACTGTATATTTATTAATATGAATCTACACTATTTAGAGAAATGGAAAAGATGGAAAATGTTTCTGTGTCTGTACATAAATAGCTTTGAAAAAAATTACGACTAAAATTAGGCTGAGAAAATGTGCCCCTCGGAAAATCTATCCCATTTATCAAACCTAAAAAAAATCAGTATCTAGCATGTGTTTTATTATGTGAAAGTGGGTGTGGATAATTAACTCATTATGGTTTGGGATGAGCACTAGTTTAAAAAAAAATCAGGTGTGAGACATGATGCTCACAACTTGATCTTCCCCCAAAATTCTAAATCAGCATTTGTACTCAGAGAAATATTCCTTCCTTCCTTTCCTCCCTCCCTCCCTCCCTCCTTTTCTTTCTGCCAAAGATGAAGTATAGATTAAATTACACAGAACCTCACTCAGTTAAATTAATACAACCTAAATTATTGAATTGGCATCCTTCAGTCTCAAGAGACTGTGGTATCGTGCTATGAAACTGGTAACTGCCACTTCCTGTCTTGTTTCAATGCTGTATGTTAATCTGGAGTGTCCTCTCCAGAGCTCAAGGTCTGTGTAATTTAATATGGAGAATAAACTGTTATCCAAAAAGCAGATCATCATTGAAATAGTCTAATGGAATGGCAGAGCCTATAGGATTAGTTCCAGCTACGTCGCAGGAGTTACCAGAACGTGATTGTACACAGTCACAAACTGCTTCGGGACTCTGGCTCCGGATTTTGCCTCGAGGTTGACTCCTGAAGCCTTTTCCAATAATAGATATAGCCACAAGGCAGTGGAAGTTTGAAATCAGAGTTTCCCTTCTCCTAAAAGATGGTTCCACCATTTTATCTGGCATTGGAGCATAAAGTCCTCTTAAACCTTCAAAACTGTTGACCATCTTCTCCTGTAACCTTGGAAAGGGGCCCTTATGAGATGCTATCAGCCAGACCAGATGGACCAAGGTTTTTAAGGAGGTATTACTCCTAAATTATATGTACTTAAGAATAGCTTACTATTCTTTCTGTTAGTAACAGCATCATTAGGTAATTATTTAAAGAAATCTCATTGTCTCCAGGTCATTCAAAACAATCAAACAAATTACAATGAAATCAATAAAACATAAAGGATAAAAATGCCACATGTGATAAAGTGAGAGGCTGTACTCACCTTCCCTTAAGGCCTGACGAGGCCAGGACCTCGTCACTCTTCTAAACAATAGCAGAGGAGGGCCATCCAATCTCAGGGGGAATTCCATTGCAGGGGATAGATGCTGCTTCCAGGATCCTAATAGACCCTGGAATTTTTTAATTAAAAAAACCCAAAATATGCCAATCCTGCAAGATTGAATTGGCTGGCCAAATGTCATGGGAGAAAGTACCGTAAAATAATCAGCCCCATATGCTATATAGAGGTTTATTGATTTAAAAAACACTTCGGATTGCACCATAGCTACTGCAACCCATGAAGCATGGCCACTACTATTTGCACCATTTCATTCTGGACCAATGAAAGCTCCCAAGTGGTCTTCAAGAACACTCCCATGTACAGCATTTTGCAGACTTGTCACAAGGTGACAAGGGTATAAGTGAACATCTGAAGGGCACTCTGTCTAGGAAAGAGATCAAATGCCATACCAGATGAAGTTGTGCAAAGATCTTCCTCATCACAGCTGACAACTATTCATCCAAGAAGACTTCCAGATTATTTACAAAACCTTGAAGAAGAAAGTGGAAAGAGGGAAGTGCCATGCCACCCAAATTCAAAGAAAGAATATCTCCAGCCATTTGGTCTTGTTAAGAGTGAGTCAGAAATTAGTTTCACAATTTTTTTTTTCTAACATCTTATGATAAATTTGGGCTCACATCCAATTCACAGATGCCCCCACACATTATATTTTACATTAAGGTTTAGGACAATTTTTAAAAATCAAAATTGGTTAAACTTGCCGACTCAAGCACATATTTCATGGCAATAGTAGGGCAAAATATGGCTTGCTCTAGATATTAACACAATACATACCCTGTCTTTCAGACACAGATGATTGTTTCCAATGCCCAGAAGGTCACTATTCAAACAAAAACAAAGATCAATGCCTTCCAAAAAGAATTAACTTCCTCTCTTTCACTGAACCTTTGGGGATCACATTAATCTTTTTGGCTGTGATGTTATCTGTAATCACAGTTTGGGTCCTTTGGATATTCACAATACATCAGAACACTCCCATTGTCAAAGCCAACAATCGAGATCTAACTTACTACCTACTTATATCTCTCCTGCTGTGTTTCAACTCCTCATTCTTGTTCATTGGCAAACCACAGACTCTGATCTGCTATTTGCGACAAACCACTTTTTCCATCGTTTTTTCAGTAGCTATTTCTTGCATATTGGCCAAAACTGTCACTGTGGTACTTGCTTTCATGGCCACTAAGCCAGGATCCAAATTGAAAAAATGGATAGGAAAAAAACTGGCCAACTTCATTCTTCTTGGCTGCTCCCTGATTCAAGTTGGGATTTGTGTTGTATGGTTATGGATATTTCCTCCTTTCCTAAATTTTGACTTCCATGCTCTGGCTGAAGAAATTGTGGTGGAATGCAAGGAAGGATCAGATGTCATGTTTTATTGTGTTCTAGGTTACTTGAGTTTTCTAGCCATTATTAGCTTCACTGTGGCATATTTTGCAAAGAAACTGCCTGACATTTTCAATGAAGCCAAATTTATCACCTTCAGCATGTTGGTATTTTGTAGTGTGTGGTTTTCTTTCATTCCCTCTTACTTGAGCACCAAGGGAAAATATATGGTGGCTGTGGAGGTCTTTTCCATCTTGGCTTCTAGTACTGGATTATTGGGCTGTATTTTTTTCCCTAAGTGCTATATAATTCTGTTTCAGCCTATATTAAACAGCAAGGATCTGCTCATTAGAAAGAAATAGCATTCATTAGCTCACATTTACATTTTTATTATTTAACAACATATTTTCATTCAAAATTCTATATATAGAGCTATCATTCATGTTTCCTTTTCATTAGTTGATTATATTTAGCATGTTTTTCTTTCCATTAATTGAATTCGTTAACTGAAAAGACTTCTGATTTGGTTTTATCATTGGGTTGAATCAAATCTTTGCCAGGAGCTTTATTAATTTTTTTATTGTACAATGAACTTTTAAATTGTTTCAATTATGTTAAATGTTTCTGGTTTTTTTTTTTTTAAAAAAAATAACCTTCTAAAATAATAACAATTCATTGTCAATTATAAAATTAAAAAATAGCTGTCAATTGCATAAGGTCACACTGCTTGAATCTGCACATATACTACACCAATGCAAGCATTCTAGATTCCTGGAAAAAACTCAATGTGAATGAAGACCAATACCAAACAAAGATGCATTTAAGTGCTGTTTGTATTATAATAATAAATTCATAATAAATGTATGACCCCATTCACTCAATGGATCAAACACCTGTACACATGCCATTGATGATCAGATTGCCTATATACCGTATGAAGACTTTGTATGCAGAACTATTGTGAAATATGGGACTCAATTATTCTGCAAAATACAATAGATGAGAAAAAAGCATGACAGTTATACACACAAACACACAGAGAGACATGCTTGCATAATTGATGTACATAGAATTGAAACTGTTCACTGTTATATTATATTTTTCTTTTATTTTTTTCTGTTGTAGTTTTGACAGTTATAAAGCACTTTTTATACATTATTTCTTCGATAATGTATGTAATTTTACCAATAATTTTATTATTGATATAATGTAATTTTATCAATAATAAAGACTTAAATTGTGGAAGAAGATCATTATTGTGGATAAATATACTGTAAATTGAAAAAGATAAAAAATTGAAAATTGATAAATATACTGTTTTAATGAAAAAGAGAGATGTCAGCTTACCTTTCCAATATATTTATATTTATTCAGGATGCCTGAAGGTGTAAGAATAAAGCCTTTATCCATGCCCGCAGGCTTACAAATTGTTGTGAAAAAACCTCAGTGTTTTCTGTTCTGGTTCATACAAGAAAATAATAGAGTGAATATGCATGGACATTTGTGAGTTTGTGACATATCCCAATTACATATCTTGCCAACATAATAGCTCTGTAGAAGAAAAGGCTTGTTTTTTGGCTTGACCATATCAGTTAAATTGGGGAGAGGAAATTCTAATATGTATGATATGTAAATATTAAGATTAAGATTTCTTAATCTTTATTAAGGAAGAAGGGTATATTGATTATATTCCAAGAAAGAAGAGCTTCCAGGATCTGATTTATGGCCTATCATGTCCACAATCTTAACTGTCGGCAAGAGTATCTGCATGGCTTCTCTTGTATTTCTCTCTAGTGCACAAATGGGTGGCTTTTATCCATATTAAATTACAAACCCTAAGCACTGTGTATTCTTCACCTTCATAAGTGAAGCTTGTATTGCCGCCTATATTCAGATCTGCCTGTAGGTCTTATGGCCTGTGGAAATTAAACATGGAAAAATATCCAGGGTCATTGATGGCACATTTTCCAAGGGTCAGCTTATGCATGGCTAAGCAATCCAAAATCCAGTAATGTGGGTAGCCATATAAATCTTTAAAATAACAATAGTTTACAAATTGCAAATTGCAAAAACTGAAAGAGGGGAAGGAAGAAGAAAGAAGGAAAGGGAAGGGAAACAAAGAAAAGGAAGGAAGGAAGGAAGGAAGGAAGGAAGGAAGGAAGGAAGGAAG